AAACTACTTTAAACTATTTTAACTTCACATGTTTTGGTTAGAATGTGGGTATCCAATTTTTTTGAACATCTTTTGATGGTTGAATTATATATTTTTAGTGTTTATGGTTCATTTATTTAGTATTTTTTTGAGTCATGTGGTGACGCTATAAATGTGTCATCGTCATCGCCATCGCCATGGAAAAATGACTTGGCGCCATGATTGTCACCATATGCCATGACAAATGAGTCATTAGTATGCTTAATGCTGTATCCTTTTAATAAAATCCCTTATGCAAATAAGGTTTCAAAGATGTTTGAAGAGCATTACGTTGGACCTCAGAGAGTATAGTGTAGTTGAAAAGCATTATAAACTCATTCTATAATGCATATGAGAAGATCGGTGCAGTCTCAAAAACTGTAGAACATGGATACCCTTATCCATTTGAGCAGTGCAACAACATTAATTTTGGGGATTCTACTTTTTAACGACACCAACTTTTCAACTTATGTTCTCTAATTTTTGTAGGCATTGATGCATGCAACATACCGAGTCAATTCGAACTTCTTGAACAAATCATAATGGGGTATTGGTTTAACATTTTATTTGCAGTTACAGCATTGATGTGCATGATTATTCTGTGCGCTTGAGAGCTGCACAGAGGTTTCTAAGAGATGGCAATAAGGTTACTTGCTATTTAAGATACTGTGCATTTACCAGTTCGTATGCCCTCTAATGTAGTAGCGCACGTATTTCCATCACTTATATAAATGTCAATTCTTTTCAGGTGAAAGTTATTGTGAATCTAAAGGGTCGTGAGAATGAGTTTAAAAGTAAAGCGACTGAGCTGCTCAAACAATTTCAAAATGATGTTGGAGAGGTAAGTTTGCTGCTTCATTTTCACATCTAAAATGCTACAGAAGCTAAAAGGTGCTTATATTTACAGTGTTAGTGTTCATCTCATGGTACACAGACTTGTGTTAAATGGTTATTTATAAGAAATTAAGAACATAAAAGTAAGGCGATCCTTAATTAAACTTTTGAAAATTCTACATGGTTACCCTCAACTTTAGGATTTTTTAATGTGGTAGGGAAAAAAGTTTAAAATTCTTACTGCGGATCCCGTGATATAGAAAATCGTTGTAGTGTGACCAAATGCATGTCATTCCATCAGATATTGTTATTAATTCTACATGGTGACCATCTACCTTGAGATTCTCTTTTATAAAACTTATAAAAGAGAATTGATAAGGTGTGTGGCATGGATTCTACATGGATTGTTTACTTAAAATAAAACTTATCATACTTTTATTTGTTTACTTAAATTTGGAGTTGTGAATTGATAAGGTGTATGGCATGGATTTTGAAACTGGGGATGGAGACCAATTAGAATTGAACCATTATAATCCAGTCCGGTTCATACATAAGGGTTATAAATTTATTAATGATTTAATGGTTGTTTTTTGTGGCTTCTTACGGTAATTCCAATGTATATGGATAATAAACATGCATGCATATTTTATTTGGCATTTGAAATTTTCACATTTAGTTTATTTGAGTTAATTTTTAGTTCACCTAATCTAGGCTTGTTTTTGCAATGATTTTTGCGTGTTAATTTTTTTCCTCACAAACATTTTTGTGCTTGTTTATGGTTATATGTTTGTTAACAGTTGTTGCCTAATATTGGGGTACTACTTGTTATGAGTGAATCGGTAAACTTAAAGAACCAAACAGATCTGATATAGTGATATCAACAGTTTTTATATCGGCCTACTGTAAGAGGCTTATATCTATTCAGACTGCAGCCTAATAGGTTTTGTGCCAAAATATCAGTACATAATATATATACTTAAAGGTTTCCTTTGGAGATATCACAGCTTGCTATTGTGGAGTGCAAGAAGTCCAAATGCAAGAATTTCATAGCTAATCTTAATTAGTTTATAGGTTTATGCATACGCTGGAAAAATACCTTTGTCATTATCATTCTTGTGCCAATTACATTTTGAGAGCAGAACTTTGTTAAGCCCCTCTTACTTTATCCTCTTCTGTTTTCTTGTAAATTTCACAGCTTGCTACTTTGGAGAACAAGAATTTCAGAGACAGGAATATGTTTATAATTCTGACCCCAAATAAAGCATTTGTACAGAAAGCTCATGAACAGCCAAAGGAAAAGGACAAATCAGTAAGTGAAGCCTGAGAGCCGGGGGTGAACAACAATGCTTGTAGTCTTTCACACTCCACTCAGCCAAAGATTTCACCGGTATCTCATTGTCCTGCTAAAATTAGTGTTTTTAAATGATAATATGTATATTTGTGCCTTGCCGCGGTGGGCTTTTGGTTTCGTAGCAATATTTTCTAGGATGCAAAGAATAATTTGTACTTAAATGATGTGTTTGTTTACAGTTTACGTTTGATTGGATGTGAAAAATGCACGAAGTTGATTCCAGGATAGCTTTATGATGCATATATTTCATTTACATTTCACGATTATGAATTGGATAAGTTATTTTAAATCTGCTTAATAAAATGCTCTATGTAATTATGTACGAAGTATTTATTATGCAGCCTTTATAAAATTTAGGAATTTATCTTCATTAACAAGCTTTAATCAAATCGAATGGTGCAACATGTAAATAACTTAGTATCACATGTCATGATTATACTGGTAGGATTTCTTAAAAAGGAAGAATGCCAGCTAGGGGTGGACTCGAGCCGGGCCAACCGGCCCGGAACCGGACCGGCCCGCTACTGTGCGGGCCCGACCCGACCCGGTGAACCGGTTGGTTGACCGGTTCGGGCCACCCGGCCCGGTGGGATGGCGGTTCGGGCTCGGGCCCTTCAAAAGGTGAAACGGCCCGGCCGGTTCGGGCCCGGGCCGGGCCAATTTTTAATTTTTTTTTTGATTTTTTTTAAGTTTTTTGGTTGGGCTTTGTATTTTAGGCCATTTGAGGTGGTTAGGGTTGGTTTGGGGGTGAGGGGGGTTGGGGGTTAACTAGGAAAAGCCAAAAAAAAAAGAAGAACCGAGGCCCGGCCCGGACCCGGGGTTACCCGGGCCGGTTCCGGGCCTCCCCTTCCTGAACCAAGGCCCGGCCGGGCCCGAACCGGAACCGGTCCACCCCTATTGCCAGCACGGTGCATCAACTAATGATGATGACATTTATATACTCCGTATTAGTTAGTTTTTCCAGAAAATGTCAATTTTAAAGGTAAAATCTTCTTTAAGAAAAATCTCTTGAAGTGGTAGAAAAATTACTTTGATTAGCTACTCTAAAGAATCCTGCAAATAAGCTTTGGATGTATACCTAATAGATGTTTTCAGAGAGCATATAAACTTGATATTTTGCATGACTTCAATCTTTCATGACCAGCTCTTGAAAGCAATCGATGTGCTCTACAAGTTTCTTGGAAACTAGAGATGTAGATTGACTTGATAAGTCTTCACCTTATTGGACCTACAATAAATTTCTAGCATGGGTTTACTAGCTGCACGCAATCATCACAACATTTATACTTCTTATATATATTTGCATTTGATTTAATTTAATTATTTATTCATGAGTTCAGCGATAATTTAGATCAAATTTGGGACGAAATCTCAAAATTAATACTCCGTACTAAATAAACATTTCAATTATTCAAATAGTTATGAACTTTGTACATCAATTTCCAAATAAAAGTAAAGAATTTGGTAAATTTTATTTGATAATCTAGTGAAGTTAATGACTGCCGTGGAATAAATTTACAATCGTTTCCATAATGTATGACGGTTGAATTTGGCACGAATTTAAAAAAAATGTTTGTTTTGCAATTTCATCTCTAAAAACTAAGAATAGATGGAAACTTTCATGAAAAAAAAAACATAAAGTATTAAATAATAGAACATGGAAAAGTGAAAAGTTAATAAAGTGTGATTTAAGGAAGCATTCAAATTTCATAGTTCTTAGACGGTTAGACCCGCGAGGATGTTTTTACTTTTACTTGGAACTCTTATAAACCATGTAGGCATGTATCATTTTATTAATTCCCAACCAATTTTATTTGCTGTAAAAATATTATTTGATCTGTTTAAATATGATTTGGTCTGATATGAGATTTAAAACAATCCAAGTAAAAACATCATTTGACACGTCGAGCTGGAGGTGAAGGTTAATGTCTGAATTTGGGGGCTATTGTGTTAGGGATGCCCAGATTCACAGAAATATTACAGGAAAGATGATCAGAAATTAGAGGAACAATTCAAGAAAACTGTATTGAAGATGAACCAGAACAAATGGCCGAAGCCCCCAGTTGAGCCGAAGCCCCCCAAAGAAGGAGAATAGTTCTCGATCTCCCAAAGTCCCAAAGTCAAAGTCTAAAAACAGCCTCCTTACTAATTCCCCCCTCCCGTCTATTTATACTATACAATACCTCAAATACCCATTGCTAATATTCTCATTAATACTTCTATTATTAGTCTAATATAAGAGGGTTCCTAACATATTGTTCGAACTTTGAAGGGTTTAATCTAAATTGCTAGCTGAATAAAGTAAATTCATAGGGCAAAATGAGCTGAAAGTGTCTAGAAAATGTAAGAAAATTGAGGTGCATTTTTATCTTTTTGATATATTTTTATGTTATTTTGAAATATTATAATGGAATATCAAATACGGAGTATTTTGTTTGTTGAATACAAAGAATATAAATGAGCGTGCATATATGTTCATATGGTATAATCACAGTTTTCTAATAGGCCGGTATTTTTTAGAGACTGCAGCAAGAACGGCATAAATAAAATAATAATTAATAGTGAAAATTCGGTGAACATTGGGAATGAAAAATGAAAATATGATAAAATGAAAACATAAAGAAACAACAGCGTAAATCATAAATGAAATAAAATTAAAAATAAATAAAACATCACGAGAGAAAGAGTATCTGAAATTCTGAATGAATGTTTGAAATAATATACGGAGTAATCTACACCAAACTTGAATAGAAACGCTTACTTAACGTTTCACTTGAGCTCATTAATTTCCATTTCAGCCTCTTCTAGCCATTCATCCGAACAGGACTTGTTTTAAATTAATTAGCTTAATTGTAATGCCAAACATAGCCTTAATAGCTTTGTAGGTAATAAGCTACTTATCGACTGAATAATTAGCTTCTTTTGGCAAAGAAACAAACATAATTGCAAAAAGTTTTGGACGTAAGAATAACAAAATAGTTTCCGTACGTTTACTGTGAAATGAATTAAAAGGTTCGCAAACAAAATTGGATAAATGTTATCAAGGAAAAGGGATCGTGACAAAAGAATTGGCTAAACTGACTCATAGCTTCGGCCCTCGCAAGGACTTGGGGCAGGAGAAAACGAACTAAAGATATGAAGATCAAACTTGAAAGCCTGTTTTCATATCATTTTCTCTTTGGCTTCTTAGATGACTTCCCTCTCTCAATACCCAAATATCGATCATTTTCTTCCTCATCATCACCACCTCTTCGCTTCCTATGGCCTCCAGTTTCTTTAATTTTCTGCAACAAAAGGTGGAAGTTGGTCACGCTCAATGTTACACTGCACTAACTTATTCATCCATCTTATGTGCCTGCTCCGACTAAATTAATCCCGTTAGGGGGTGGTTATCAGGTTTCAATTGTTCATTTTATATATTATTAAAAGTTGCTTGTACAAGTTATATAAAAACAAAAACTACTCATACATATATCGATCAGTGTTAATTTGGAATTACAAACAGAAAATTATAAACTACAACTTTCAATTCATGACAAATTTATGACCAAGATAAAATAACAGAGAAAAAAAATGAATTTTAGTGTAGTGAAAACAGTGCTAGTTAATGAATTTTAGGAACATTGTAGGAAAAACCTACTTTACTTGTTTCCAAAATTTGGTTTTTAGTTTTTTTTTCCAAACTAATACAGAAAAGGAGAATACTGAAGTTTGTGGGATACTCAAGAGGATAGAAGATAGAAGATGTTGATGTGGAAGTTCAATACCATTTGGGAGATTCTTTTGGCCTCTGTTACACGTTCCAAGAATAGTAAAACTTCCTCTTCTGGAGCAGGATACTGGGGCAATTTCTTGCCTAAGAGATGAAAATGTATTATTTACTCAGCCCAACGAAGGATTAAGGGTGTAAACACATCAGCTGGACAGTTACTAGAAATTACACAGCGAGCACTTCTTACCGATGAGGTTCTCTATCTGCTTATACCACTGCACCTCATATTGGTTTACTAGTGAAATAGCAACTCCAGATCGACCGGCTCTAGCAGTTCTTCCAACTCGGTGTATATAATCCTGCAGCCCAATTTCATAAAGACCAGAAGATATGAAAATAAGTTGTTAGCCAAAAAGAACAAAATTCACCTCCACCAAGCATGCCATTGGAATAAAAATTACTGTGTTAGTAATCAACAACAAATTGAGCAAGGCAATACATAAAGGCAGTAATAGCCTGTCATCATCAATTAAATTTATGAACTACAAATTGAGCAGTAAAAGTGTCGAAGTAAGATGGAAGATGAAGATACTAATGGATAACATCAGCAAATTGCATCTTAACTCATTGGGTGTTAAGATTATACTGTTATTGTATATTGAAAAAATGCCAGTAAGAGGCATCACTGCTATGCTGATAATCATTAACCAAACAATATAGCAAAGCAATACATTATGGAACCTTGTAAGCTCGAAGCACTAAACACTAAACTCCAATTCAAAATCAGTGGTATGACGATATATCTTAAATTTAACTTACTTGCCACAGTCCAACGAATCGAGGATAAAATAAAAAGGTATAAATGAGTTAAAATAAAACTAGAGGAAGAGGAGATTTTTTTAGGGCAGAGGAACAGAATATGGTATGGTCAAAGTAAATACCCCAACCTTGTATAATTGAAAAATAAACTACCCCTTCCCCAATAGCCAAATTAGCTAATGTTTTTTTGTATTTTGGAAAGTCAACCACAACAATACAATTTCACCTTTTTAATAAAGGTGTGTAAAAAATGGAAGTAAATTTTGGGTCGGAGGGGGTAATAGTTATACAATGTTCCTAATCTTGCACCATTCATGGTGATGGTTACTACCATCAGTATAGGGCAGGATATTTAATTTGAGCAAACTTAAGAGGGGCCATGGTTGTTGATGGCGCAGAATGGAGCATGCGCCATGTGGCGCAAATCACTCATGCGCCATGAAAAGGGGTCGTGGCGTTGAATATACCAGTGGCGACGCCATTTGATCACCATCGCCGTAGCCCGTAGCCATGGCACTGCACCATGCTATTTAACAAAACAGAGCGTATTTGGTTTATGATTTTTGGGCTGTTCGGCCAAAATAATATGTAAGACCATTAATTAAACTCTAATAAAAATTAATATGTTGGCCCATTATACTAACAACCCTAACCAAAAATAAATAAAGATACAAAGTAATACATCTGAAGTAAAAGCTGCTGTGCAAGTAATACACGTGAAGTTAAACCAAAGCAATAGACCAACAGTAGAACAACTCAGTCTTTATGTTAAAAGCTATGTTACTTTATCAATTTAAAGTAAATTTAGTTAGATACTTAGATGATTTGTTCAGATAATTTAAATGCTATGTTCAATTAATCTATCAATTTAAATACTCATAGCATTTTAAAATGAAATTTTTACTGTAGAACTCAAAGTATTTAAATTGATACTTTGACCATATCATTCTTTAGTTTTCAATAATTGTGTTTAATAGAATCTTTACTGAAGCAACAAGGTTTTATTGGGAGTCTATAGTCATAAGGTAACACTGATAATCATCAAACAAAAACAGGCTAACATATTTTGCTATGACATGAAACTTTTGTTGAATATTATGTTTTTACAAGTACTTTAAACTATTTTAGCTTCACACGTTTTGGTTAGAATGTTGTTATTCAACTTTTTTATCATGTTTTGATTGTTGGGTTGATCAATTATAGTGTCTATAATTCGTTTTTTAGGTTTTTTCTTTTTTGTCACGTGGCGTCACCATATTCGCGCCATCGCCATGGGAAAATGCTTGTGCACCATTGATGTAGCCATGTGCCATGACAACTATGAGAGGGGCAATGGTTATTTTCCCTTTATAAACAAAAGACAATGTCAAATTTCATATACAAAGGATTTCATATACAAGAGTACAAGACAGTGTATGGATTTAATGATTCCATAGTCATACACTCATGAAGAACGCAACATACAACAATTTAAAGTGGAAATCAATGATGCCAGACCTTGGAGTTTGTTGGGATATCATAGTTAATAACCATATCAACAGATGGAATATCAAGTCCTCGACTCGCAACATCCGTACAAATTAGAACGTTGCACTTTCCTGATTTGAATTCATTCAATGCTCCAAGTCTTTTTCCCTATCACAATTGTCCACAAAGTAGTACATAAGGAGTAATTAAATTTTTAAAAAGAAACTCAGGGAGATAACAGAACTTGAGTTTAAAAATAAAAACAGAAGCAGAAGTCTCCAAACATAACAAAGGAAAAATATGTAACCTGGCTCATTTGGCCACTAATTGGTATGGCTCTTATGCCAAGGTTTCGAAGCATTAAAGCTAAAAGACGAGTCGCGTCACAAGTACGTGTGAACACCATTGATGTGCTCCCAGACATCTCAGTTAGTATATAAACAAGATAGCAATCCTGTGAAAATGGAAAACATAATTTCAACACAAAATAAGGTTCAATAAGGGGAAAATAGAAAAAAAAACATTGGTTTGGCTCAAGTCTTGGTGTAACATATGGGAAATATTCATCAATCCCAAACTTGGTCTACTGGGAATTTCATCAACAAATCGTGCAATACATCACATCTTTAGATTTTGTTTTATTAAATTGGGTCTCACTTACGCCAACAGGATAATGAAAACATAAAGTTTATCTCGCAGTTATATGTGTCTAACCTATGATATGGGACACCTAACACGCCTCCACAATCCATGTCGGGCTGGAAAACTTGAGTAGTGGACAAATGGGCGAAACCAACCCTAAGGTGCAAACAAACAAACTAACATCATACCAGACTGTGGTACCATATTAAATTGAGTAAACATCATAAACGGGACACCAGACACTTAATTCACCCCAAAAGTATCCTCAAGGTGTGAGGTTTACCTCACACTTATATATTAGATTAGATACTAGTAAACATCCGATGTGGGACACTTAACGAGTCTAGTATACAGCATTCAAAAACACATTGCAGCATTGGGAGTTGCAAACCTTATATTTTGCAGGAAAAAAGCAATACTGCTGTTTTAAAGTATCAACTGTCGAATACTTTGAGGCCGCCTCAATCTGAAATTAAAAGCGAAGGAGTCAAATTTTATGAGCAAAGCTAGCCAACACTTGTTTCAAAGAAAATAGTCATCTCACCTTTACAGGATTCCTTAGACAAGCCCTCTGAAGTTTACCCACCTGCACAACACAGAGTGATATGTTTAGCAACACATAATATCTTCATCAACTCTCCACATGTCTTCAGTGTAGCACATAACTCAGAAAAAATTAGTCATCAGTAATAAAGTGAACAAAATGGAAATATGGTTTCTCTTGTGTGTTTTTAAACTATGTTGCACGGAAACGCGAAAAACGCGAGGAAACAGGAAACATCAACATTTGCTCAAAAAGGGCTTGTTTGAAGAGTTTCCCAAGAGTTTCCGAAACAGAAACGTACTCTTTCCCGAGAGTTTCCGTGCTACATAGTTTTTAAATAACAATAGATATAGACTTGCGTAATAGTCATTCCTACTAATGCTCTATAATGAAGACCCACAAATATGCATCGGAAAGAGAGGATTATTATCTGGTATTAAGAATTAAGAAACAGGCTATAAACCATATCTTTACTAATAATATCTGCGTTCCTTCAATAACTTTCCAGCCATGTCTTCAGTGTAGCGCATAGCTCAGAAAAGCTTAGTCATCAATAGTAATGCGAACAATAGGGAAAAATTGATTCTCTTATGTGTTTTCTCAGAATAGATACAGTCTTGTTGCTTGGTAGTGTTAGGTACCTGGCTATTTCAAAGTGATTTCAAGAAATAAAAGATGAAAGAAGGAAGATGTGCTTAACAATGGAAGTTGTCGTATAACAGAAAATGTAGAGAGAGAAATACAAAGGCAGTTTAAGAGTGTCCACTCTCCAAGTCCCAAGCCCAAATAACAATTCCAACCTCCTTTCTATTCTCCCTCACCCTCTATTTATACTAACTATTCTAATATTATTATTATTCTTATTTATTATTATTATTATCAGTGCTATTCTACCGGAGTCCTATCATATCTCCCCCCTTGAACATCCACCTTGTCCTCAAGGTGGGTGATAGGAAACCGACTTGACCTTCAACTTTATCTTCATCCTGGCGCCTCTCCCTTCCCAGTACCTAACTGATTGTGGGACCATGAACTTCATTGCCTGGAGAACACACTGATTGTTGGGATCTTTGTAATTGTTTTGATCTTTCTCTTCAATTTCCTTCTTTGGATGTACTGGCTGGCATAGTTCTATTAAGCACAAAGCAAGTTCTTCCCTATTTTCACATGAGGTTTCATCTTCCCATTTCTCAGTATTTTGATGAATACCCAAAGATGCCTGGCAGCTTACAAACACCACAACCAATTTAGATCCTGCTGCCATGTACTGCCGGATGCATACTGGGGAATTGGCAAGCGAAGAGAGAACTGCACATTGATACCCATCAACACTTGGGAAAAAGGAAACTTCAGTGTTGGGTTCATTGATCAAGTATAATGTTGTTTTCTCAGGGCCAGAGCTAAGCCTGTAATAGTAAAATTGGCAAGATTCTTTACCAATAACAACACTCAAAGAATTAGTGGCAGAATCTAGAGCTGTTATTGCTGCACTAATTCTAAGGCTCTCCATGCCATTCACACTATTTCTACAAAGTGACATGTGAGCCATGTGAATTTTTCTTTCAACAATGCTACCCGGATCAAATTCATCATCCCATCTTAATCTTGAATCAAAGAAGTCCCAATTTACCGAAAGTACCCCTTTGCACCCTTCAACACCAAGAATCAAAAACTGGTCATGACTTTCAACAATATCAACTCACCTCTCCATCCATCTCCTATTACTAATTGCTCTCAACATACTGTCACATTCTTGATCCTTATCTCTTTTCCTGAGAACGTTGAGTCGTGGACCAGCACTTGCCATATGAAATCTGTAATCAAAATCTAAACCTCTATCTTGAACAATTATACAAACTAATGGCAGTCCCATAACCACTTCACCAACTTTAATGGCCTCAGAGGAATGATCAAGAGTGAGATCTTTAACAAACATCAGATACATGACAACTTCAACACCGGTAACATATCTCTCATATTCTGTAGTATTCCCAGTAATTCCTCCTTCCAACCCATTTTGAGTATCCATCATAAAAGTAACACCCTCATCTATGAAACTATCAAACTTGTTCAATGACTTCAGCCCTTCCAACGTAATGTTTAATGAATGATAGTACACCATTTCAGACTTTAAAACATTAGGCCAGTTCATCTCCTGTACGAACCTAGAAGTCATCGTGGACTTTGCCACACAAGCATCAGTGTCACATGTGTGTAGAATCTTGAAAATATTGGTTCCCGAATCTGACTTGACAGACTTGTATTTGAGAAAATGAACAGTTTTGCCAAGTTCCGGTCCAAGATGAAATAAAAGATGAAAGAAGGAAGATGTGCTTAACAATGGAAGTTGTCGTATAACAGAAAATGTAGAGAGAGAAATACAAAGGCAGTTTAAGAGTGCCCACTCTCCAAGTCCCAAGCCCAAATAACAATTCCAACCTCCTTTCTATGCTCCCTCACCCTCTATTTATACTAACTATTCTAATATTATTATTATTCTTATTTATTATTATTATTATCAGTGCTATTCTACCGGAGTCCTATCAGGTAGTCATCTCTACTAATGCTCTATAATGAAGACCCAAAAATATGCATTGGAAAGGGATGGTTATTATTTGGTAGTATGAATTAAGAAACAAAGTCTGTAAACCATCATGAGTGGCACCTTAATTTCAACTTCGAACTACATTAGGGTCAGTGGCATGAAATTTATAGGGTTATTTATTTGTTTAAACTTTTATGCCGGAAACCCTTCTTATCGTGACCTGTTTTGAAGGTTTTGTCGAGATGAAATTCCAAATTCTCATAACAATTGGTTTTATCTGGACGGCGATGAGTTCAGGTTGTTATTGGCACAAAACTTTATAGGTATCATGATATCTACAAGTCCAAAAGACAAACTTAGGCACCAAAATATTTAATGCAATACAAATCATACCAGCTACAACTAAATGTCTTGAGCAACATAATAAAACCATTTTCGCATTGGCACTACTCTGGATGAACAACTTTTGTAGAGGTAACAGGTTTTCTTACTTGCAATAAAAATATAGTACAAACCTTTTTGGTCATGGTGGCAGAAAACAAATAAGTCCTCCTCTCACGGGGAATATTATTCAGAATATCATCAAGTGCTTTTTCAAAATCCTCATTCAGTAATCTATCTGCCTCATCCAACACCTTCATTAAAGAAAGGCCCAGTAGTCCCATAAGAGAATATATAGGTAATCAGAATTCCAATTAACTCAAAAAAAGAGAGAAACAGGGTACCAAAAACTTCAAGGCACGGAGAGAAAATCCTTTGGTATTTGACAGATGATCCAAAAGACGACCAGGTGTTGCCACCTATAAAACAATTCAGCTTGTTAGAAACCAAATGGGTTGAGTATATCCATTGAGTGGCTCAAACTTAAAGAAATGTGGTTGCTATAACTATTTAGGATATGTACTCTTGTTTGATTTCAAATACTTTCATTTTGTTTTGAATGTATATCCACACGAAAATACACGTAAATATATGTGTAGTATAGTCATACTTGACCATGTATCTTACTATTCATAATTCAGTACAACTCGCGCTTCAAAAAATAGGCCCTATGATTCACTATCGTAGTCCTGATTTCAAACCTTGCTTGTAGGCTGGCAATAAAGACATACTCATTCAGGATATTAATGTGACAAGGTGTAAACGTTTAACAGAAACTGCAATACTTACAAGAATGTGTGGTCGTTTTGCAAGGGCAATGCTCTGTTGTACTTGATCAAGCCCCCCTACGAGCTAGACGAAAATTGTGCAAGAAGATTTAACTTGATTATTAAGAAAGTGAAAATAGCATAGCTAAACTTCCATTTGAAATAATTTCATTGATAACTTCGTGTTTACATCATAATAAGGCTTATGTGTATTGAATATTGACTCAGCTTGTTGGGTAGCAATGTCTGTCTGGGTACATAATTGGTGATAATGTAACAAGGGAAATACTTCCCAATGTGTATACTTTTAATATATAAATAGAAGGACATGCGACTAATCTACTTTTCTCACTATAACCTTGAACAATAAATAATGATGGGCTCTGAAATCTAGACAAATGCATGTATGATTTGTGAGACATTAACATATCTCATTTTTTAGTTACTAAATGTTTTGAATTAGCATTTTGTTGTCAGTTATCTGCAAAAGTCAAATTTAAGTAGTATATGGAGATGGAAGAGTGGAAGAAAAAAGAAAATGCAAAAAAAGAAAAAAAAATGTCTCAAATGGTTTGAGTATGCAAGCCCTCTCAAAACATTCTATGCTTGGCATACTCATAGCTCTTCCCTTCCAATTTTACCCCATTATGCCTTTTAACTCTAGTTGCCCTAAAGTTGCCCTACAAATACTTCCTTTTACTTTGGACCTTTTATATTTGGCATATTAAATAAATCATAGAAGATAAGCAATAAATTTGAAATATTGTTATACGGAGTAATTTATTTCAATGAAAGCTCACAGCTGTACACTTGACATTAAATCCAGCTCCAAGTGCTTCAAACTGCTGAGAAATTTGGATTGCAAGTTCCCTGGAAGATAAATAGAGAAAAAAATTAAACCATTGAGCAATAAAAATGAATTGAGAGAAATAAGGTAAAATAAATCACTAACCTAGTCGGAGAGAGCACACAAGCAAAGAATGGTTGTGGAGCGTCTAGAAGTGCTTGCAGTATTGGAATTGCAAAAGCTCCCGTCTTTCCTGAGCCCGTCTGTGCAAGCCCAATTATATCTTTCCCTAAACAGTACCCATTTTAATTCATCTACTTTTATGACCTAATCAGATATAGCATACAGCAGAAACTGAAAAAAAAAATGAAGCATGGAATTGAAAAACTGAACTAAAACTTGGACGAACCTTCCAGAGCATAAGGAATAGTCTCAGCTTGAATCTTAGAAGCAGTTTTCCAGCCCAAATTGTGGCAAGCCTCCACAAGTTGGTCACACACTCCTAATTCTTTGAATGATTTCTCTTCTTCTACGTGCTCAGCCATTTCTCCTTCAACCAGAAATAGTCTATATAGTTTCTGACCACAGATAGGCAGGAATCTACCAAAGTTTTAAAATTTTGTTATTGATCGCTAAATGAACGTTACGTTAACTTTCGTTTCTGTCCGCTGGTCTTGGCGAGGAGTTGTGCGGCGACAAGGTGCATGTCATCGGAAGCTGCTGGACTGAATAGAGGGCTTTGAGGAGCTGTACGAGAATCTGTCTATCGACGAAGAGGACAATAAGCGCTTACTGTTAGCAATGGTTGGGATGGTAACAAACTAAAGACCAAAAGGTTTTGGCTGGTGTGAACTAGTCGGAACGGTAATAACCTAAAGAAGAACGGGTGTTTGTAAATTGGACGCTGCCTGATTATTTTAGAGGATAAGAAGCTTTTATCCATTAATATTATGGAGTACTAAATTAAATTCAAAGGATAAAAATATAACTTATTTTAAAATTTTCCAACAAAGTGACATTTTTAGTGATAGTTCACAGTGGCTTGTCATTCTGAAATATATTATAGTGACTAGTTTACAGTGACTAGTCATATTTTTGTACCAAAACATAACTAGTCATATTTTGCCCAGAGAAACTCTATTTACTACGGAGTAATATACATGTCATTTTTTCACGATAATATCCATAATTAGTTGTGCGTACTATGTAAAGTGATATATTTGGTTAAATGATTGTTTATAATAAATTGATACTCCCTCCGTCGCCCTAACTTTGTCCCGTTTTACCTTTTTCGTCCGTCCCGTTAGTTTGTCCCATACCATATTTGGTAATATTTGGGTGGTTTCATTCTTACTTTATTCACACTTTATCAATTTAATATCAACCACACAATTCTACTTTTTCTTAAAAACCACACCACACTTCTTTGTCCCAAACTTAGGGGGGCGGAGGTAGTAATATAGAACATATACTATAACAGGGCAGAAGGTTTTGCTAGAAAAAATACTAGTAATGTGGAGTAGTAATAATAATAAATCATTTTTTCACGATAATATCCATAATTAGTTGTGCGTACTATGTAAAATGATATATTTGGTTAAATGAGTGTTTATAATAAATTGATAATATAGAAGAGATGCTGTAATAGGTCAGAAGGTTTTGCTAAAAAAGATACTGGTAATGTGGAGTAGTAATAATAATAAATTGATAATTTATAAAAAATATAAGGATGTCATAATTTTTTTGTTTACTAATTCTTTTTACATGTGTATCATACATTTTGTTAATGTTATTTGTACCCTTTTAATGATTTAAAAAAATAAAAATCATTACCACAAGCAATAATTCTATTAAACATTATTTTTCATGCATTAGGTGCTATATTTCAAGCTAATGCAATGCATGAGAGACAAATAATATGTGCACATCAAGTTTAATTAATCTAATTCGCAACTATAAATTTTCTTATTTTCTTTAAAAAAATTAAAAAATTAAATAATTTCATTTTATACGTATACATATTTATTAATATGCATAGCACAGTTTTGGAATATTTAATTGATTTTAATGACAACAACTATTATTTATGTTAAAATAATGCAGTCCTATAAAATAAATATAATATCATAAAAATCACATGGATTTAATATTTTTAATGATGAGAATATAATGAATAACATTTCTTATGAAATACCCGATAAAAAATAATAGATATTGATAGACAGAATGAGATAATGGTGTATTAAAAACATAAGTGACAATGTCTACAAAATAATTGAAATACTTTCATAATTTGAGGCTGTTTGGTAACACTGTTTTTCGGCTTATCAAGCTTATCAACCAACTTTTTCACCAAACACGTAACTTTTGTTTTCACGCGCTGAATTGCGTAATAATAAGAAAAAGTAAGGTTGAAGTTACTTTTCTGACTGTATTGGATGAAGTTACTGTAGATGACCATTTTAGCTATTTTTACATATAATTTTTTAATTATTTTATTAATAAAATATATTTTAAAAATAAATTTTTCTTAAATCAGCAGAATAAACCAGAACTTCATAAATTTCAACAGAATAAGCCGAATCGGCAAATTTGCCGTGTTACCAAACGGGCTCTTTGTTTTTGAATTGAAAATTTACTTTAGTTAATATAATTACCTTCGAAATAAGGATTAAAATGGGAGAAATATTTAAAAATATGCAGTGACATTTTCAAATTAATGAATTGAAGTAGTACGGATCACGTATGACATAACATAATATAATAGAATCAGTGAATTATGACTTATTAGTACATACACATTATGTAATTTTTCGAATTAAATTTAAAAAAATCTCCATTTTGTTATAGTTTTCATAAAGTAATTTTAAATATAAAATCTCCATTTTGTTAATGTTTTCATAAAATAATTATAAATTTAATTTTTATATTGAATGTGAAAGCATTTAGCAGTTAGCAGAATTAGAAGAACAAAAAAACAAACTTACCAGCGAGACGGCCAGGCGAGGAAGAGCGAAAATGGCTCGCAGAGCACTAGAGCAGTCGAGCTCTAGAGAGATGAGAGGCGAGAGTGATAAGCGCCAAGAGGCTACTGAGCTACAGGCTAAGCCGACAGCCTTGCCGCCGTGCGCCGACAGTCCGACGGGAGAAGGCTGAACGGACCACTGACTGGCGAAGTAGCGAAGAAGGCTAAGAGTAGAGGTTTGGGTTTTTTGCCGAATAGCGAAGAGTCGATCGATTAACAGCGCCCTGCGTCCTTCGGTGGAAACTTGGGCCATGTTTATTTTGGGCTTGGCTGATTGGGAGGTGGAATTCCGGAAAGACGGATTACAAGTTAACTCTATTGGGAGATGGGCCTGATTTTTATATCTACATACCTCATAAAAATTGAGGTTGGGCCTAGACCCTCTTTGGCACTAGACCCAATCCGCCCCTGAGTAAGATTGTAAGAAGAATTAAGATGGTTTTTAATTCAATTCAAAATTCCTTGTTAATTTTTTTCTTCAACAGAATCTAAAATGGAGGGATCTATTTAAATGATAAAAAGATATTGGAACATCAATTTAGAAGAAATGTAATATAAAGAATGAAGAGTAATAGTATTAGTAGTATAGAACTAAGATGTCTTTAGTTCTATAATAATAATATAATCACCCCAATTGAGCAAGCACAATGATTAAATAAGTTGAAGATTCACATCTATGCATGTTTTTTTGCACATGGCTCACCATGCAAACAACACAAAAGAGTTTGCAAATTAAAGATAGGTCTGATTTAATCTGATCTGTTTAAATCTAATATGATTTGATATATTTAAATCTATTTTAGCGTGGACGTAAAATTGAAATCAATTAAGGTAACATGATACAAAATACAATTTTTCTTCGTGTAAACGTTTTTTGGACGCATCATTTTACACGTTGGTCGAATTGCCATTCTATACATTTTTTCGTTTTGTGAAAGAAAATTGTTTTTCGCACCAATAATTTTTTGGATGTGATAGACGAAAAAAATTGTCGGTGCAACAAATAATGGTCTTCACAAAAAATGTGTAAAAATTCAATGTAAAATGATGTATACAAAAAACGTACAAACCATGTTTCCCTACGAAGTATTGCACACTGATGATGTTTATACTTGGACCGTAATTCCTCTCAGACAAAACCATACTTGGATAGTTATAAAAATACAAAGAAACTAGACCAGATCAGACAATACCAGATCAGACCAGATCAGCAAATTATAGTCCAAGTAAAAACATCTTGATACCACGTAAAAAAAAGTCATGTGATTACCGGTGGACGCTAGTAGCGAGGGAGTGCCACAAAGGTTATGTCACGTGTTCGATTCCCGGCAACTACGATGAGAGGTTACTATGCTAAAAATGGGTCTCTGCAAATATCAGGGACAGAGAATCACTTTCTATTTGTCAGATCGGGATTAGAGCATCTGCAATACTATAGTATGCACAGTGCACATGTGACATTAAAAACTTAAATCCTTCCAAACTCAGGTCGGGGCTGGGGTCTGGGGCCTGAGGGAGAGGGAGGGTGTCATGCTTTTTGAGTCGTTTGAAAATAAAGAAAACACGTGACTAGTGCTAAAAAGGGGAGGACGTGTGGTGGTGATGCAATCACGCTAGCCAATGCTTAGGTGTTGTTGGAATTCCGAGAAAGACATGAGCTTGTCAGCAAAGACCGTTGTTTTGGAGCTTATTATGTTGTACCCAGAATTTCCTGTTTCTCCAATGGCGGCAGATCTGTGCAGCTCTTTCTCCTAAATCCCCAGGCATTGTTTTCTTCGCCTTCTTTATACTTGGTTTAATTGGCATTTCCTTGCTTGTGCTCTACTCCTTTCTCAAGATTCCTTATCTTTTTATGATAACTATTTTCAAAATTCAGGAAATAGAGAATGAACACAGTGACTAATGAGAAAACATTGAGAGAAAAGTTTCCCAATTTCTTTATGTTAGCTTCTGCACTCGTGAGTCGTGACCTAGCTTTCATTTCTCCACTTGTATCTTGTGCTATAATCAGGATTTACCATTCTGGATGTTTTAATGGATATATAAATTATACTGGGGAGTATTAGATTGCTAGCATTTAGTATATACAAGGAGCATTACAAAAATAGAGAAACTGGTCGATAAGACTGATAATCCAAAAATAGAGATTTACCAATGGGGCACCTACTAACTGGTGCTGCTACTTCTTGCTAGAGTATTGGTGTTTAGTGAACGTATCCCGCATTCCCTCTTAATGACTGATTGGCACCGGTTCGCTGTTAAATGTTCACCAGGTGATTGGGAGAAAAGTTTTAGCACAACAATTGTTTGCTTTATGTTGGAGCTTATGTGCATTGTATGGATGATAATAGAAGGATTGGGTGTATGCCTGGGTTTTTCCAGCTTTTATATCGTCATCACATATTCGCCAGCAAGAGACTGCATACCACTAAGTGTCTTACACCCTTTACAGTGAGTTGATTTACTCTGTCTTCCAATCTTACTATTATTATCATTGCTAGCGGTATGTATATTACTGGTACTATATATTTCCTACTTGTTAATCCACATTGTGAAAGTCTATAAGTGATGCAAAGTGTTAATATGATATTAGAGTGTATGAACTATTAAGTTCAAATGAATAAGCCTAAAAATGAGTAGATGGATTTCAAGATTTGCCTGCTCTAATGAAGCATCATACTCAGGGCATGTTAAGAGTCTTAAGACACATTGAATTACTCCTCATAAGATAATGGCCTTTTGTATTACTCACTCAGCCCGCTTTAAACCTCAGGAGGTTGATGACAGCACATCAGAACTGGAAAATACAACCCCACCACCGGAAACCGGGAAGGGATCGGCAGAAGGATATCCATCTAAAGTGGTGGCAGCACCACCTAGTCCCACAAAACGATCCAAAGAGTCTCCATCAGCGTTCAGTTCAGCTACAACACCTTTGATATCTCCACACACTCTTCCAATTTTTGAAGTGAAAGATGGGGCAAGGCCTTCTTGGAAGATCCATAAAGAAGCTCCTAGGCTCTCACTTGACAGCCGAGCCACAATTGACTTTAAAGGAAGCCTTCAACCGAAGGAGCTCAAGCGGCCATCTTCATATATATCATCAAACCATTGTGGAATTGCTAAAGACATGGTTTTTACTAATGATGATGATGTCAAAGCTCACCGACATCCCAGTGTCATTGCAAAGCTGATGGGACTTGAGGCATTGCCGCAATCCGTTTCGGAGACCATACATGGAGCTGAGCTGAGAAGATCTGCTTCAGAGTCAAGAGTTTCAACAAGAGACTTGTTTAACTGTCATACCATTGATGGAAATGACTTCGAGCTCAAGGGAGCCAACCACTTGAACTCTCACACACCAAATTGTATAGTGGCAGATAATGATGAAATCGACAGTAGGAAGTCTATGTCAAGAGCTTTAAGTTCAACATCATGGAGCCCACCACAACACCGTAGAAGCTTTTATGATAGACTTGACATTTTTCCGGATCCTAAACAGGCAGCCCCACTTCATGTAGATATTGTCAAGAGACTTGATGGACCTTCTAAAGATCTAGAGACATTGAAGCAAATTCTAGAGTCCTTGCAACTCAAAGGACTCCTGCGTGCCAAAAAGCTTTCTGGGAAAATTAATCAGCTCAATGTCATATATGATGATCCAAGTTTCTCTTTTGAGGAGTCTGAGATAGTAGTGATGAAACCTTCCAGATCCATCTCATCAATCAACAGAAAGGATACAAAATTCAGTGATGGCAGTTTGAGGTGTTCAAATTCAGTAATAAGTCCCAGGTGTCTAAATGTTGACCCCCAACAAAGAGAGAGTGAGTCAATTGAAAATCAAAAGTTCTTTCCCTTACAGTCACATAAAGGTATTTCCAGGAGGAGTATATCCGAGAAAAATATCATAAAACAGTCGGGGGCTACAAATCCACGAGAACATGTTCATCAGGAAGAGGAGATCACGACCCTTGCTGCGAAAGAGGTATCTTTTTTCTGGAAGCACTCTTACTTCATCATTTCAGACTCATGTAGAGGCAAGTTTTTTGCATTTATTAAAAGAGTATTGCTAGGGGGCAATAAAGCTGGTCATTGTCAACAAACATTCCTATTTGGTGCACATTAATTGGGTGGTGAAGAATTAGACTCGTGTAATAAGATATGTCACACCGGCTAAATATAAATATACAAACATGATATTCCTATCAGTTTAACCTTTTAGTGTAGAACCATAAGTTTTAAGAATCTGATCATATCTGCATATCATATTTAAATTTAACGTTGCCCTAACATTAATCTTTGGGAAAACTGTCAAATAGGTCCTCCAACTTTCATAAAAAGGTCAATTAAGTCCTTCTATAGGAGGTTCTGTCCGGCCGTCACGATTTGGGACAGTTTCCGGTGGAATTTTTTGATGAAATTTTTTGAGCATCTTATTCACCAAGTCTAGTTTACTCGTACCAAATTTCAGCTAAAAATTCAATCGGGAACACATTCATAACTGCGCATTTTTGCGTTCTCGAATTAATTTGAATGCGCTCCCGATTAAATTTTTAGCTGAAATTTGGTATGAGTAAACTAGACTTGATGAATAAGATGCTCAAAAAAATTCATCAAAAAATCTCACCGGGAACTGCCCCAAATCGCGACGACCGGACAGAGTCTCCTATAGAAGGACTTAATTGAGTTTTTTATGAAAGTTTGAGGACCTATTTGACAGTTTTCCCTTAATCTTTCCACAAAGTTGTAATGTACTTCGCAGCTGCTAAAATAACAGTTTTTTTAATACTTTATTTTTTTATGCTAATATTTCTTTTTTGGATGGCATCATGCTCAATAGAGATTGAATAGAGAAGAGAACAATGAAGGAAGAAACCTTTTGAAGAGGTGTGACAAGCTGATTCATAGTATTACAGAGATGACAACAACAGATCTGCAACCCAGCCCAGTATCAGTTTTGGACTCCTCATTCTACAAAGATGAGTCACCATCTCCTTCTCCCACAAGGAAGCGACGCATTGGATTCTTAGGTATGTAGCAAAACCCTTAATATGCCATCTCAGGTAGTTTCAAACTTTCATCTAATTAACACGTCTCCTTTGACCCCTTGCCTAGTTGCCTGATTCATACTTCTATTTGAAGGGGATAGAGCCATAGAGTAAGTGCCAGCGTATACAAGCTTTAGTGTTTCCTGTAGTATATGTTAGATTGCAATTATATGTGGTGATTAGTTGGATATAGCAGCATTGCATCATTTATATATCATGGTACCAAGACAATGAATTTTTTTATGGAGTTCTTTTTTCTCCTTGTGTTAATAAGGAAAAATATACGCGATAACAGAACTGTAGTCAGTTACGCTTAATGATTTTTTGGAAGTTGGACCTGTGCCTGTGATGAATTTTTTTGCGGAGTTTTCCTTTGCACATGTTTAATAAACCATTAAGAAGATTGCAGCTGTTGCCTTGAACTCCTCAATGCATCGGTACATATTTATAAAATATTAATAGATTTCTCTTTACTTATATGTTTTGCTTGTGAATAGATAGAAAATGACTTCTTGTTAGTCTCACATACAAAAGTTAAAGAGAGCTGTCAATTTTACTTTGTGCACCATGTAGGCGACTTCGGCAAGGAGGTATCAACCACAGAAATTTTACCTATCCAATTGAAGTCGGATGATGCAGCCTTTGACTCTGATTTTAGCTATATCGCAGACATTGTTAAGGCTTCACATTACCTCCCCAAAGGATCAGACATCTTTCTACTACTGGAGAAACAACATTTTTATAAACGAGAAGACACATCAAAAAATTGTAGACTGCAAAGAAGGCTGATCTTTGACACTACCACAGAGATTCTTTATAGGAGTGAGAAACAAGTGCCTCCATGGAAAGTTTATTCACGGCCAAACTGTATTGATGCAAATTCATCCACGGAAAAGGTACTGTCGGAGTTCCAAAGAATCCAAGAACGGGGAAGTTCGGATGACTTGTTTGAGATCATTCACACTGCTTTAAAAAAAGATCTGGCGCAAGATGGTGTTAATGGCTGGGGAGATTGTCCAGTAGAGATGTCAGAGGCAGTGTTGGACATAGAACGGCTTGTATACAAAGACTTAATGGGAGAAGCTATCCGTGATCTAGCATCATTTGCACCATCTCGTAGGAAGTTAGTCTTTTGAACTGATAGAAGCCGACCGACTGCTTCTGTTATATGCATCCTACTGTTCTAAGTTGGAGTCAGATGCCTTTATAATAATTCCATACATGCTTAGGCGCCTAGTTGACTTTCATTCCTATCCCCTTTGTATCCAATTTATGTTTCATTTTAGGTACTACTTTTAAAGGCTAGCTTAGCTAACAACAGATCATTCCAATAATTAGATTTGAATTAGGTTTGAATGAGTAGCAGTTAGATATGGTGTGGTATGATCCTAGCTAGTCTATTCTGAGAATATGTTTGTGTGTTTTGGTTTCTTTTAGTCTGAGTTAGTTTGATTGGATATTATGTCAACTTCAATATTATTATATTTATGAATAATAGTGTATCAGAGTTCATATTATAGTTACAAGAATACACATTTTAATTTTCCTTTTAAATTATTATTACTCCCCCCTTATTTATTCACTTGTTATTATTACTCTGACTCCCCTTACTCCCCCCTTATTTATTCACTTGTTATCATTACTCCCCTTTGCGGCAGTGGAGTAATGATGATGATGACGTTCTTATAGTTTTTCAAAGAGACTAAGAAACATATATAGTTCAAGTGGTAAATAATGTAGAAATGTGTAAAAAGTAGAAGATAGTAGATGAAAATTGAAAAGTATGGAATAGATGATGGAAAAATAGAAAGTATGAAAGTGAAGATGAAAAAATATGCAAAAGCAACCAAAAACAAAAATTGAACAAATCATAGATGACTTATAAAAAATAGAACAAATATTGCGTAGTAAAATGTGGGGCTATTACTACATAATCTCGGAGTATTATTTTATGATTTTCAACATTTTAAATTAAACATTAGAAAACTAATGAACTTTTTTATCACGGATTGCGAGCCTTATATTCAACATAGCAAAGCCTCTCTTTAACAATTACATCTAACTATATTCAACAAGGTTGTTTGCAAACATTTTAAATATATTCTATGGTGGCAGCAAGTCTCTGGGCCTTTTTATTGAAGAGCAACCCAACACCTAAGCCGAATAAGTAATGTTGTTTTCTTAGCATAAATGAGGAGCAGTGGTGTTTCTATATAATGAACCTATGAGGAATTTGGAGAGCTAGAAATCAGAAAATTTGGGAGTAAATGTTGATGTGCAACTTAAGAAGGATGGTACAAAGGAGATGGGCTTGGGTAGTACGAAGTATGTGATAACTGGAGATGATAAAAATGAAAGAAATCTGATTTTATTGAAGTAGAATTTGATGTGGTTCAAGTTATCCAGGCTATCAAAAAAGGTTGGATGATTTTTATTTGAAAAAATGTTAGAGGTACACCATCAATTACACCCCATATATAAACCTTGAAATTTATCGTTTTTATTCTCTCCCTCACCTTTGATCCATACGGTTCTCTCCTAGGCATGTCAAAAAAACACGGCGCACAATGACCTGCCTTGGCCCGATACATTTGGGGCGGGTCCGCCCACCCCGCTCATACAATGGGGCGGGTCCGGGTCTTAGTATTGACCTGTACGTGCTGCCCTGACTCGCCGCGACCTGACCCGCTCAATATATAAATGTACATATTTTTTTAAAAAGGGAAAAATAATTAAAATACCCCAAACTTTGATGGAGTGTGATACAAACACCCCAAATATGCATATGTAATTTAAATACCCCAAAATTTATATAAAAGTTATTTTAGCACCATGGTCATGTATTATTTCTTTCAAAAATGTTAATTTTTGGTGTATTTCACAATTTGGTAATTTTTAACATTCATAAAGATACAATTAACATTCTAAACTTCCATCGTAAAATAAATAGTATTACCCCCACTATATATAATTCTAATGTTTTCAATTTGCTATTTTAAATTATGCATTTAATTATTTTAACACCATAAATTTACATTTTTGAAAGAAATAATACATGACCATGGTGTTAAAACATCTTTTTATATAAAGTTTGGGGTATTTAAATTACATATAAAAGTTTGGGGTGTTTATTTCACAACCCTTCAAAGTTTGGGGTATTTTAATTATTTTCCCTTTTTTAAAACTATACTACAAATGTTCAATAAAAAACTATTTTATAAATATACTTCTACATACATATATGTGTATATAATAAATCATAATTTCTTTGGCCTATAATATATTAATATTTATATTTGAATGAGATGAACGGGGAACTATTGATGTTTTTTTCATATATAGCATTTTAATTTATATATTCAATTATTAATATAAATAGATTAACTATTCAAGGCTCAGTACTTTTTAGTGTATTGTGACTTAAATTTAGTACTACATCCGTTCTTAAATAAATGCAACACTTTGACTTAAATTTTTATAATCTAATTTTTTTATTTTTTTTACTAATACAAAATCATTTATATTAATGGTCAAAGTTGTTAAAATCATTTTTACCCTAACATGCACTTGTGAAAATTTTGATTGTGTTCATAAATTATATGCATATTGTTATCATGTTTTCATATCATAATGTATTTATTCACGGTATAAACTAAATGTGATTATGCATATAATAATTAAAGGATAGTTTGAAATATAATTTACAATATGATTTAATGCACAATCCAATAAATAATTAAGCATATCATGTAGGTGTTACAAATTATTTAGATGTTGTAATGTAAGAGTATGAATTATTTTTTATATTATATGAGCATTCACATCAAAAATCACAAATTGACACATCATTGATTTATAATTCAGTTTTACTATATAAAACAATAGATACTAGCTAATTAGGTTACGAAGGGGCGGTGTTTAGTATTTTGTCTATTTTCCTCGGTTCTCTCTTCTCTCTAGAGAGAGGAACCCTAGCGGTCGTCTCCCCTCTTTGTAGGGGTTGAGATTTTCCGTCACCCCTATCAATATGGGGTTGGAGGCTGGAAACAACAAATTGTAATGATTTTAAGTGTTCTAACGTTTGGGATAGCAACTACGTCGGAGGAGATAGCGTTGACGGATGAACGAGGTGCGGCTGGGAGGTTGTATCTAGGCTGGATCGTGAAGCCTTGGTCAGTCATTATATTCCGACGGTGGAGTTGGTATTCACCCATATTGCAAGAGTTCGTGCTCCTCCGGAACTACCTTCATACCAGGAAGAGCTTTTTGAAAGAATTTATTTCAGTATTATTTTCTCTTTAGTATCAATTGTTTCTGTTTTAGTTTGAGTAAATGTGGTTTGGATGTTTGGAGTTCTTTTTATATGCAGTGTTTCAGTTCCTGTCATTTTAGGCCTAAATTTGCTTGTTTCAGGTTTAACGAGTCACGTTGATTTGTATGAGTTGACTAACTTTAAGTCTTCTCCTAGGGTTCACGATTGGATAGGTAAATTCTATTTGAATGTTGTGTTGTATGAGTTCTCGATTTTAATATAACGACCACTCATTAATGATAAAAAAATTACGACGGGCGGGGCGAACTGGTCAGGCAGACCCATCCTGCATGGGGCGGGGTGAGGCGGTCAGGCGGACCCACCCCGCATAGGGCAGGTCATGAGTCAACAAAATTGGACCCATGCGGGTCACAACCTCACAGGGTGAGATGGGCCCACCTAGTGAAGTAGCAGGGCAGGTCCGTGTCTTGCGATATCCGTCCCGACCCATTGACATGCCTATTCTCTCCTCTTTGGTCCTCCATCTTGTTTTTTCTTCTTTCTTTCATCACCTTCTATGATTTCTATCCATTATCATCCATGATCCATCTTCACTATTTCCATTTTATTATTGTATATATTCATTCTTTATCATCTTTTATTTTCATCGCCTTCCATTTTAACCCCATCTTTCATCTTACCTACTTAATCATCGCCAGTGTTGGAGTCGCTTAAAGGTGTCACCGAAAAAACAAATAAATTTTGAAAGACACCAAAAACTCACCGGAATATAATAGATGAACACCCACCAAGAATTTTGTCTGTCTAATTTTAGGGATGGACCGGGCCGGGCCGAACCGGCCCTGTACTGTTTGGGCCCGGACCGGACCGGACCGGGACCGGTTGGCCGGTTCCGGGCTTTTAGCCCGTTTAGGCAGGTCGGGCGAGCCGGGCTCGGGCCCAGTTTTGGGCGAACCGGCCCGGGCCTTTTTTTTCAATTTTTTTCTTTGCCTAGGCTAGGACTGGGTGTTTTGGGGAGGTTTGGGGGTGGGGGTGAGGGAGGGGGGGGGGGGGGTTCGGGGATAACAAGAAAGCAAAAAAAAAAAAATAGACATTGAACCGGGCCCGGCCCGGCCCGGTTAGGCCCGGACCCGGTATCAACCCGGGCCGATTCCGGGCCCATGAATTTGCAAAAAAAAGCCTGCCCGGGCCCGGCCCGGAACCGGAACCGGACCGGCCCGGGTCTATCCCTATCTAATTTATAAAAAATTGTTTGTGTCATACTAAACACTAATATAATGTCTGTAATGAAAAATGAAACTCAAGAACTTGTAGATTTTGTAAAGTTGCACCATAGTGGAAAAATGTATATTTGTATAAAGACAAAGTTAAGTTGTTTGTGTACACACACAAAAAATATTATACAAAGACAAAAATATATGAGCACAAACATTTTTTGTCACTACAAAAACTAATGTTTGTATACAGACATTAGTTCACGCGTAAATCACATTAATTTATGTACTTCTTCCATAAATTTGTTATGGTTAGGTTGCATGAAAACCGATGTCTAAGTACGCATAAGAAACAGATTTCTCTTGATGATTCGAGAAGAGAGCTCGATAGATTAATGAAGGGAATGAGGGCGACTGAAGATGGATCAGGAGATCTATTGAGGCAATGAGGCGTATAATACATTAATACTATCATCTGCTTTAGTGAAGGATTAAGGATTAGGGTTATAAATTCAACAAGGGTATGTTAGTCCATAAAAATTAATGAACTAACGATGGATTATATGTCATCTTAAATAATTTATGAAATGACAATTATATGTTAGGAATAAAAAAAATCATGTAATCATATACTGGTATGTGAAAACTTGACATTTATTAGTCATATGGAAGGTTATTACCTCTTTCCCTCCTGAGTCCATACCGCTTTGATAAAGAATGCATATCACTGGAGTTTAGCATAACAGGAGGTCCAACCTTCTTACACACACCATTGACCTATGCTCCGGTAGTCCGGTATAGATGCCTCTTTGCTATTTAAATACTCTCTCCGATTCTTCATTAACTTTACACTTTCCTTTTTGGATCGTCCCATATTAAACTTTACACTTCCTTATTTGGCTTATTTGGCAAACAAAGTTACACCAAATAGTGCAAAACAGTGCCAAACAAATTTGACGTATTTATATTTCCTTAATATGTGTGAAGTCAAAGTGTAAACTTCATTAAGGACCGGAGGGATACTACGTATGGAGTATTATTTAAATACTAGAGCCAACATTGTTGAAATTGCAGGAATGTGCGATTCTAAGCAAAAAAATCGCGACGGAGTTAGCATCAAATACCACATACAAAAATACGTCTCCCTAAATATTTCGAAAGCAGAACTCTTGTAGGATGAGCTCCCCCGATGATCCATAGAGGAGTCAGACAAATCCAAGCTTGCGACCATCTCTTCATCTAATTCCCAAACATCACAAGTCACAACTGCATAATTTATTGAAAAAATCAAACACAAGTTCACAACATCACAAATTGTTGTTTATGTTATTTAAATGCAACGACAGAAGAGGAAGATCTAGGAAATGATGGACACATACATACTGTCCCCTCTTATGATGATGTAAAGTCCTGAGACAAGATGGTGTATCCCTTTCTGCATTATAAGAGCCACTGTTTGGTTACCTAATACAAGTATACAACCATGAGAAAACAAGTTTTCTGAAGGACCGAAATCCAAATTTAATAATTATGGTAAAAAACTAGAACATGTTAAATAAGAGATAGATGGGGTCAGACCTTGGTTGAATAGACTCTTTCATGAGATTCATCAAGAATTAAGTTCAGGGACTAGTCACGTCCTTTCAAAATTCCCTGAACAAAGACGGTGTATTATTATTCCAGCCACTGCGATAATACACAATTCTGTTCACTCATACTCTCTTCATCCAACAATGCATCTTGGTCCCATTTTTTACATTTGTCTTGTACCATATTTTATAATGTTTGTGTGGCTCAAGTTATTGCATATTTAAAAAAACAATATCAACAAGCTAATGCCAATCTTTGTTAATTTTTGACCCATTTTCACTTGTCAAAAACAAGTAGGGCAAAGGGAGTAAAAATGAACAGTACGGAAAACACATAAAAGAATATGGAAGGCAGTCAAAGTTCATGAACTCACCACTATATTACATCCATCATTTGTAATCACTGATGTGGCATCTGGAGCGAAAATAGCTAATAAATCCGTTATTATTCAGATATAAGTATAGAGCCAAATAGCATACTTAGCATAGTAAGTTTTTTAGTGTAGGAATATAGGATGATTACGTACAACTAAGAACTAACTAGAGATTCAAGCCCCAATCAAGTTGACATGAGTTATCATCCTCTTCAGATCCTGATTGCAGAAATACAACCCAAATCCTCAAGAAATTTCATAGACCTTATAAGGATTAAGAACTCCATATGAAAGAAACAATTCAAGGATTGGATTTGCAGTGAATAGTGATGGTCTCAAGACTCGAGTTTTTAACCTCACCCTATAGAATGCCACTAAGTTGACTATTATGTCATAGCTTGATAACTACAGTCAGATTATTCAAATATGTTAGTTTTGGCTACTTAATTTTGATGTGGATTTTAAACGAATGTTTCTATTAACTCACAAGCACTTGTCATTTCACAAGATGTGGCTTGGCTAATTTTCAGAAAAATACTGTGGAAAAACTTAAAAGGGGAAGTAATTATACCCCCACTCCCACTCGCGCAAGCTCATGCCACTAAGCATTATCAGAATTGTGTTTGGCTTTCTTTTCGAAAAGACTCATGTTCAAATTAAAAACTAAATTAACTTCTACTCCTATAAGCTAATTTTCTTGGAGTAGCGGTGAAATTGATTTTCCATATGAATTGTACTTTTTTAAAAAAAATTGAATATTTAAAACCTAACATCCATCCCCCCCAACAAAAACTCCTCTTATAAGCTCTTGTTTGAAAACATTATTACTCCTCCAACTTTGATCCAGAGTAGAACCACACACACCCTAAACTCAATAGCAAAGATTTCTTAGAATGAGAAAGGTAAGCTCTAAAAGCAGGTCCTATCAGGTATCAGCCATATGCCCATATCCAAAACCCTTGGAGTTTTATCATTTAAACAATTAGTGTACCTTATGTTGTTTGAGTGTTCCCTAATTGCGCAAATGAAAATTCAGTGGTCAATTGGTCAGAGCATTCAGGGTCTGTTAAGAAGCAGAAAAATACTGGGGATAAAATAGAGGGAATTTGGAAAGGGAAAATTTAGGGGTAAATTACAAAAAAAAGTTAGATCACAATAAATAAATCTCAGATATTTGTTCAAACTTATACTCCGTATAATTTATTATCATATAAAGACCATTATTATATACTTCCATCATTTGCAATGGAGCCAAAGACTCACTATATTTTGGCTTGGGAATATGATGGAATAAAGCAAAATGGGTCACTATTTTTTCGACGTGATTTTCACTAGGAGTCATTCGGAAACGGTCTCTCAGTGCTTTAGTACATAGTACAGGGGTTAGTACAAGGGTAAGACTGTGTACATCCGACCCCCTTACCCCACCAAAGGTGGGAGCTTTTGCGGCACTGGGGGTAAAGATGATGATGATGATATAAAGACTATTATATAAAGACTCAAACGTACAAAACAATGCATAGAGTTAAAGTCTTAATGACATGTGAGTTTCCATTCCTTCAAATCTTCAAAGTAAAAACAAACATTAAGGGTCCGTTTTAGTTGCATGTCTTGTTAGAAAAGTGAACTACCTGTTAATTTTCTACCTCTTCCTGTCTAGGGGTTTTGTGTAAAGATATCCCACGTCGCCCCATCGCAACAAGATGTAGAAGCTTCCTCCTAGCCTCATAAATAGAGTTTGGTTCAATGAGGCAACCCCTCTCATAAGTCTCCCTGAGGAAAACAGTGTGCCTGTACCCTTTAGTAGATAAGTAGAAAATCCCAGGATGATCGAGGAACAAGTCCCTTATATTTAGATCAATCCCAAACCATTTCCTAAAATGGCTTATCTTTTCAACCTCTACCATCTTCTCCACGGTCAAACTCAGGAACTCATGAACTATCGCAACTGCCCTCTTCTCCTTTTCTATCATTTGCCTCTTACTTATATTCTTGTTCTCCTCCTCCTTACATCCCCATTCCTCATACGGACCAATATATGGCAAGCCTTGCCACTCTTTAACTTTGGCCTTGAAGTTCCTCTTCAACCTCATTCCCGGAGGATATGAATGTTTGAAGCTATATAGAATTTCAGTTATATCCTTACCCCCTGAATCCTCTTTGCAACACTCCTTGATCCTCCAATTTTCAACAGAAGCAGTTAGGGTCTCCTTTGGGATTTCAGTTACTAGTTTCAATACATGAGTGTTTGGTTCGTTTCCTTGACCGAGTGTGAATATATGAGGATTTGATGAGATTAAGGAGTTCTCGAAATCATCTGGAAGGCCTAGCTCTTTCCAGGTCTTGAAAATAGCACGAAGCGGCACCATTTTGGTGAGGGACATCGATAGAATTCTGACCAAGCGCTCCACAGCAAGGGCCAATGAAGAACTGGTGGATTGTGCCTCTAATCTAGAAATTTCCATGGCTGTCTCAGTGAGCGCACAGTAAGGTTGAGATTTGGCGGAGTGGTAGAATATGTGGAAAATGTGAGGATACCTGCGGAGGAAGGCGATGGCGCCGCGGTTGAGGTGGAGTCTCTGAGATAGGCGGTTGAGGAAATCCACGGAGACGGAAGGTGGATTGGAGCGGCTGGCGAGGATTAGGTCTTGGATTTCAGAGACTCTGAGGAAGTTTTTGTAATTCTCCATGAGCTTCTCGAAGGTTATGTCTCTTGCTCTAGATGCTACGTACTCGGCCGACGTGGTTTTGCAGCGGAGTTGGAGAGCTGCAGCGGCGCTAGTGGTGGTAGGTTTTGAAGTTAGATTCTTCAGGATTCGAATTACCATAGCTTGAGTTGTTTTTCCGCCGCTGATAGTCGGCGGTATGGACCGCTGGCGGTGGACGGTCGGCGATTGGGAATTGCAGAACAGCTCCACGAAGTGAACTTTTTGTCACAGTAGCTTTGGGTACATTTGGAACATGACCAGAGGCACTGTGTATGGGCCTACCGCCATTCTGCTGACTTAGTCACCGTGACTAACCTCCTCACCATCCTGTCTGGTCGGGGCGGGGGCTCCTGGGGTGGGAGATTCCACCTTTTGGGACAACAAAGAAATGATTTATCCCGTTCCAAAATGAGGTTTGCAATTTGGAAACGAGACAAAAACAAACTTTTTTGTGCGTGAAAAAGCAAATCAAACCTGTTTTTTATCTGTGGACTAGGATTCACAAATTAAAAAAAAAACTCTCACACACACAAAGGTGTACTGATGTGCATAAGAAAGTGTACAAAAGAAATTTTTGTTTCATTTTTGATAGAATGTTTTTAACTCTGACTTATTTTAATTTTGAGGTCAGATTTCAACCTTTCAGAATATATCAGATTATATTTTAACAGGTAAGAACAGATTATAAAATTTAAGTCCAAGTAAAAACATCATTATAATGATCGATTTGTAATCTCGTACTTTTTGAACAAACTAGTTACCCACATGTGCGTTGCGCGGGAGTGAAGTGCCTACAAAATAGTTTAGATGAAATTCTATGAAGAAAAAAATTGATAATATGCCGATTAATTGTAAACATCAAATAAAAAATGAAATAAGATGTCATCCGCATAACAAACTAAGATATACTACTATATGGTACCAATCAAACGTAGAATAATGAAATAGATGTGCTTGTAAGTCCGTGAATTTGTAAGAACTTGTTACTCAAAGTAACTCATTGACATCTGAATTATCTTTGTAACATATCACAAATCTTAACTCATTGGTCTGTTACTCTCAAAAAGCTTCAAGTACACATGTCCATGTATAAGAATGGGGCGATGGAGGAAGATAACAACTCTTCTCAACAGTTTTCCTTGCTCTTACACATAATGGTCATTGCATACATAATCACTAATGAATTTATTTGCATGATTTATCTTTGTAACGTATCACAAATCTTAACTCATCGGCTTGTTACTCTCATGAAGCTTCACGTACACATGTCCATGTATAAGAACGGGGGTGATGGAGGAAGATAACAACTCTTCTCAACAATTGTCCTTGCTCTTACACATAATGGCCATTGCATACACAATCACTAATGAATTTATTTGCCTGATTTATCTTTGTAACATATCACAAATCTTAACTCATTGGCATGTTACTCTCAAAAAGCTTCACGTACACATGTCCATGTATAAGAACGGGGCGATGGAGGAAGATAACAACTCTTCTCAACAATAGTCCTTGCTCTTACTAATAATGGCAATTGCATACATAATTACCAATGAATTTATTTGCGCTGAAAAGTGAATATGAGCCGAACTCATGATGGTTTTAAAGTAAACAGGAATAAGAAAATTTTCACCATATATTGTTTGATTCTCGATAATATGAGCTTCAAATTTGTGTACAATTGCAAAATCTAGATGAAAGATCTATATTTCTCATAAGCATCACATGCATCGTCACTTTTAACTTTAACTCATGACTTGACAAACCGAAACATTGAATGTTTTAAAAAATTCAAAAGTATGTCTCATGTAAGAGGTCACTATTTGAGCTAGATGAATCAGCTTAATATGAACTTAGATAAGTCCTTAACTCTGAATCTATGTGAAACAATATGTAAGCATTAACATTATCGACTTCATCTATTGATTAGGGTAACAATAGCTTCAGAATAAACATACATGTTTGGGTTACCTTGAGTTAAGAAGTCGTGATAAATATGGTAAGTATATAACTTATTAAATTGTCCTAAATAGGAGCAAAAACCTTCGAGAATGACAAAAAAGAATCACTGTGTTTTTATTCTCTAATAGAAAGTATTTACTATCAAGTTTGGGAAATACTTTCAACTATGACAATATACTGTAATGTTAAAGTCTGTAAATGACAAAACATGACATTAATTTTCAGAATGACAACAACATACCCCTATTTAGTGAAAAACATAGTACTCATATTTTGAAATTTTACATGGTGTATGCTCCTATTTCAGGAATTTCCCCAATTATTTAAGTTTTTCTTAATCTAGGGATACTAAAAACAAAAAAGAATAAATATTTTACGAAATCATATCAGAAAACATGTACATCTCAATTTGTATACAATAAATTAATCATAACAGCGTCTTAAATTTTGTGATACTTGAAACAAAATAATCCTTTTAAGATCGTCATTGCTATCAGTTTAGTTATTCTTTGTTAGGATTTATTGGGATGGTTTGGTTCTTTTTAATTAGCAATTACTGACTCCCTTTTTGTTAAGATTAAAATTTATTTTCGGATTTCTTTTTAATGAGTTGTTTTAAATCCATTTTAATTAGCAGTTTTACTGAGTTTTTTAGGATTGTACATATAACCAACAAACCTAACAAAAATCTACAATTTATTTTTGGGAAAACTATCAAATAAGCCCTCGAACTTTCATAAAAAGTGCAAATAAGCTCTTTTATAGGAGGATTTGTCCAGTTGTCGCCATTTGGGGCTATTTCCATTGGAATTTTTTGATAAAATTTTTAGAGCATCTTCTTCATTAAGTCTAGTTTATCCATACCAAATTTCAGCTAAAAAAGCAATCGATAAGGCAATCAAATGATTTTTTGAAGTATACTACGCTGCCTAACTGCACAGTTATCTTCAAAAATTCATTTGATTGCCTTCCCGGTTGAATTTTAGCTGAATATTGGTATGAGTAAACCAGACTCAATGAATAATATGCTCAAAAAACTTCATCAAAAAATTCCACAGTAAACATCCACAAAAATGGCGACTGCCGGACAGAGTATCCTATAAAAGGATTCATTTGCACATTTTATGAAAGTTCGAGAGCTTATTTGGTAGTTCTCCCTTTATTTTTTGTCTTGTATGCACTATACATAGATAGATAATATGACCAACCCTTTTATAGTATCCACCATTACGGTGTTTAAAAAACTTCACAGTTATGAACTTATTTATTTACATAACAAAAATTGACCACGATTCACCATACACATGAACTTCTACAATACCCACTTATTCAATGTTTGTACATTGCTACCATTATTGTGTTAACAAATTCACCCTAAAACTGAAAAATTAAAAAGGTAATAATAAGTTCAGTTTGTATACCGTGGGATCGTCTCACGGTGAGCACCGTGCTCCACTCCCAAAACGACGTAGTTCTGAACATTTTAAAAAAAAATCACGTGAACAGTACACGCGTGAACAATACACGCGTGTACAGTGACAATTTCTTTCTTTCTTTTTGTTCCAATAGAGTGAATGGTGTAACTCGCGTTTAAAAATATGTAACTTACGTTATTGATCGATGTAACTCAAGCTCATTCGAAATGTAACTTGTCAAATACAAAGTATATGAAATTAAATATTGATTTCAATGTAAACAATGAAAAAAGATAGTCTAATTGCACAGTTGTTTTAGGTAAACCATGAATATGTTTTGTTTTTAATATCATGACCATAAAAAATATTTTTTTTAAAAAAATCATTTTTTGTTTCAATAGCAGGGGTTCATTTTTTAATGTAACTCATGTTATTACAAATGCAATTCGCATTGATAGCAAATATAACTTAGGTGTGCACAAAATGTAACTTGCTGGAAAATTGAACAATGATTTTTTTGTGTGTTTGAGAATTATATATATATATATATATTATAAACACTGATTTCAATGTAAACAATGAAAAATTGATCCTAATAGCTTAATTACTTTTTAAAATAGTGAATATGTTTTATTTTTAATATTAGGGATATAAAAATGATATTGCAGGGGTTTATTCCGTGGTGTAACTCGCATACATTAAGATGTAACTCGCACAGAAAAAGATGTAACTTCATGATATATTATCAAATGTAACTTGAAGAATCAAAATAAACAAACTCAATGTATTAAAAACCTCTAAAAACATATAAAAGTGCCAAAAAATTATATTATAGAAAAAGTGTGTGCATACGAAAAAATATTACAAAAAAGTGTATGAATATAAAAAACATATTATAAAAAAAGTATATGGATATAAAAAATATTACATAAACAAAAATTGTGTATGAACATGAGATGCAATATACTTATTTATTTAGATTAATAAACTTTTTGTTATGTATTGATAAAGAATAAAAAAATAGATTCAATTATAATTTAAGATGAAGATAAAGAAAAGTAGGATTGCAATTAAGTTTTTGGTATTTTAATTTGATGGAAAAAGAAAAGATTTGAACAAAAGAAAAAAAAAATAAAGAAAAGCAAAGGAAAAGGAAATAACAAAGTTTCAGACAAAGGATGAGGGAAAAAGAAAGTCACATAAATTCTTAAAAGTGGGATCGGCACACCATGCGGAAGGTGGGCCGATCGTGCCGTATAAGTTGAGAATCAACCATGCTTGATGTACACACCCTTGTACACACCATGTTTGTGAATCTTTTTTTTTGTCTGTGAATCCGATTCACAGACAATATTTTGTTTGAATCGATGTTCTACAAAAGAAAAGCTTTCACAAACATAGGTGTGTACAAAAGTATGTATTAGAGTGTGTACAAACATCATTTTTGTTTGCGAATAAGTTTGATCCGTAAGTATCCTAGGTGCCCCAATTTGCTACCATTACTACTTCTGGATTGTTCGGATGCAAATATTCCCTTCGTCCCAACTTGTTTTGCAAAGTCAACATTTTTTGGTCAACCAATAATAAAAGTCAACCCTCTGTATTGATAATTAATTCAATTTTTAATAATTAAAATTTACATATTCATAAACTACATTAAAATATCTACAAAGTTGTAAACTCCAAATTAGAACATAATTAAAAATTGACATCCAAATTAAGTGAACAAAACGAGACTTTTTGACTAAAAAAAGTCAAATTTGCGATCTCTTTTTAGGGTCAGGCAGTAAGAATATTTCCGGTGCCCTAATTCGAAAAAAAAAGCAGAATCAATTTGGAAGTACATACACAGAATCGTGTCAAAGAAT